GAAAGAGTGAGCTTAAGAAATGGAGGCTTCTGAACAACTCATATCTTAGAGTACAAATAATTTGATGGCTCAGAACCAGTTAAAAATACACAATAAGCAAGTTTTGACTTATTTTTTTATTTGAGTAAACCCATAATTTACAGAAAAACACCACAAACCTTCTTACATTTATTTGTTTCCATATAGAACCTTTGAATATTAAAATTAAATTAGACTGTCTTAAGTCTAAGAAAGTCTATAATGTTCTAAGTCACGAGGGAACTTTTATATTATGGGATCTACTGCATTACAACTTAATATAAAACTATAAAAATAAGACACTATTTTAAAAATATATTAATTTATTTGCAAAAGTATTGGTTAAGTCAAGTTTTAAGTAATTGATACAGCTCAGTCACACCTTACAGTAAGGGATTTTTGAATACAAAATGACATCCTCTCATGATCTGACTATGCCAGTTCATAGTACTTCCCAGAATTTGGATCAAAGTAACAGTTCAGACATGGATCATACAAAAGAGTCAAAACTTCCTCATCTTCTTCAGCATGGAGGTCATTTTCACCTGTGTCAAGTGGGAAAAGAATAAATCACTCTTACTCACTTAGACAATAACATGGAAATATCTTTCTGTCAGATGTGACAGAATGTCTCTTCAAAGTGTATGATCTTCTGACTTCTGAATTGTTACCTTCAAGACAACAGCAATTCACAGTTTCATTGTATTTCTGAAGACTTGTATTCTACCAAGGTGAAATGGTGTCAGTTAAGAGTTTCCTTAACAACTGGATGTCACAGAGTCCAATGGAATAGTTCATCAGAAGTACTTTTACTGATAGTGGATCCAAGCATCCCTAAGTGATATTTTTCTCAACAACCTTCACAAACAATAATGCTTCAGTACAAACAAAGACAGGCAGTGAATACTAAAGGCCTGCAAGAATGAAAGGATCTGAATGTCTGGTATACCATATTATCTAAATGTGCAGTATATGTAAATCTATACAAAAGAGCTTTCAATACCTGAGAGGAAATCAGATTTTTTCAAACAATAAACATTTCAAATCTAAGTTGTCTAAAGTGTTGCAAAATGGAAGAATGCTTTCAGGGAACAGAAATTAATCCTTAGCCTAAAATACACTGATAAAGCCTTACAGACTTTTATTACAGATGTTTTATAGAGTCCTTTTCTAAACCTGTCTGTCTTTCACCTAAGCTAAATCCAAGTTCTATGAGCTATAGCTTTTTGATAGGAAATAATTCACAGCTCAACGGAATCTGTATTTTGAATTTCATCATAAATGTTCATCTTTTCCTCAGACTGTTAATACAAATTGAATGCTTTTTGTGGCCTAACACTTCATAATAAGTAATGGCCTGTTATGCCAACAGCAGCAGTTTCACAATGCTCAGGATCTATTTGAAGCCAGGATCACAGAACAATATATAGGTTACATTATCTAGAGACCAGAAAGTAGGTTGGTGCACTTTATGTTGACAGAAGAAGCCTGCATTTGATTGTCTGGGAGGAGATTCCAGTTTTGTTTCCTCAGTAGCATTAAAAAATGCCATCAGAAAGAAACCATCTCTTATGTAACCACACAGGTTAAAAGGTGAAGCTAAATTGTTGTCCTCCTTGCTACGGGTACTTCATAAGGCCTGGTAAACTGAATGGGATTAATGAAGATACTTTGGATAGCTTGGGAAAAATTATGCAGTGCAGAAAGAAGGTGTAGAACTGGATGGCTTTTTCTACCCTTCCAATCATAGTGAAAAAGGAAATGGTATTTGTGCCTCATTCCCTCACACAGCCTCACGTTTTCACCTGAAACCACGTTTTTATCTCCACTCAGTTCCTCCTTTCATTATTTTGCTTTTCCCTGCATATGCTTCTCTTAAAAAATAATTCTCTTTTATTCTTCAAGCTTGAATCTCCATCTATTTCTACCTCAGAACTGGCCTCTCAATAGACTCCCTGGGTTGATTCAGGAATAAGTTCTCCAGACTCCTCAGGGGTATCCCTCTTTCATACCAGAATTAGATTGCACCCAGGACTACCTGGGTGTTATGTTGTTACAGCAATAATTCCCTGCATCTATTTTCATGTGAACAAGACCACAGTTTAGTTTTCTAGATGTATCTTCTTTTTAAAGTTAGGCCTCTTTCTTTCAGCATCTCACAGTATCTCCAAATGCATCTGAAAAGGTCACTTGTGTTCTTCTACTTCTAAAAAGGAAGTATTAATCATATTCAGTAACATTGTTCTACAAAACTTAGCTACTGTGTAAAGGTTATGTTAGAAGGCATCTTTCCACTTTCAAATATATATTGTGTGCAACCTGATTGTAGGAATGGCTAAATTAATGGATAAAGAAGTCACTTTCAAAGGAAATTTCCACAGCTGTTTAAGAATTAAAAGACTTTTAATAAATATTCTAGTGCTATAATATAGCTTTTTCTTTAAGGATAGTTTTAGATAAAATTACTACCTTGAATACACTATGATTCACTACAGATTTTCAGTACTGATAATATGCTTTTGTTATCCTGCAATACTTGGAATACTGGAAAACTGAAAACACACACACAACCTTGTGACGCTTCAGTCATTTTCCAGCATGAGAAATAACTCATTTTCTAATGTGAATAAAAGAAAAGAGGTGAATAGGGCAGCAGAATTTTCTGGAATGAATTTGAGCATTTAGTCTGTTGGTGAGATCTGATACTTATCTGGCAGTAATAAAACAGTTCTTTTGTCACACAAATAACTAAACTCAAGTTTAGGGGGGAAAAAAAACACAAAACCAAGCTTTTTTCTGAAGTACAAGAGATGTTTCACAGGACTAGACCTATTCAGCACCTCTTTAAAAATCAAGATTTTTTTAAAACAAGGTATCTAGGAAAGCAAACAGACTCTAATGTTGATGGGTACAATCTAAGCTGATAAGCAGATATTACATGACACTGCATTTTCACACACCACCATATTATGTCCAAATTGAATTTCGCTGTAATATTCATATAATAATTACAAATACTTATTTTTGAAAACATTCCCAATTTGAGAGGCATAATCCATTTTAGACAGTGAATCACTGAGACATCTTTGTCACTTGGGCAGCCAAAAAACACAGGTCAGATTTATGAGCTTTCACATTCAATTCCCCGGACTTGAAGAAAAATGTAGATATCTACCCTGTTTCCTAAGACAACCAAGAAGAAAAAAAAGGGTATTTGAAGAAAAGCAGGTATTTGTTTTACTCAATTGTTGTTGACTTTCCAGTTCCAACTAAGTTCTTTGCCATTCTCTAATCAAACTCTATTAATCAACAAAAATTTCTAACATTTCATGTGGTGACAACAGCCTTTACTCAGGAAATGATGCTTAGATTTCATTTCAGGCTAAATCAGAAATTTTTCTTCATAAGAGAAGTCTCACTTACACAAGTAATTGTACTTCTGAATAAGAATGTTTAGTCTTTGCATTCTTTATTTCATGGGCTTGCCATCCCCACTACTATAATTTCCTTATTTTAAACAAACAAGATGCATTTTTTATGAGTTAAACTCTATCAGGCTGGAATATTAGAAAATTGCAACTGTGTAAGCTATTCTTCTATCAGAGGCCAATAACACTGCACGGAAAATTTTGCTTGGGCTGAGAAGAATAAATAAAAGAACTTGGAACCAAACCATAACAGTATAAAAAATTACAAAAAGGCAGCACTAGCACTAGAGAAAGAGCACTGAGAAATGTCTTTCTATCCAGGTCCTTTAACTGTCTTCATAAATTCCTACCTGGAATACTCTGATTTTTTGAAGATTCAGTGTGTTCTCCCAGTTGTTGGCTTCCAGGAATGATGGGGGGGCTGAAGACATTCAACCAATCCCTAAAAAATACAAATCAAAATATTATTCATACAAGCAAGGTTGGTGTTTCTATTTGTCCTAATTCTTCATTATTTAACAAAAATTCAAAGGAAACTGAGGGTTGTCAAGTGTGATGAAACAAAATCTAGCTGGATTTTATGATTATAAAAAGAAACTTTACAATTAATATCATTCTTCCATGTCGAGCCTTCCTACCTTCCTTAGCCTTTTCAGCTCTTCTGTTCACACAACACATCTGTGTTTTAGGGCAGGTTTTCTTTGCAGATTTCAGCTGTTTTCCTCTCTCAGCAAGAGGTGCCCATGAGATGTGCTCCACAATCCACAGAGCTACACTCTGAAAGCCTTTGGGACTCAGGAGAGTCTTTTTCTGAGACATAAAGACTTGGTATGATCCACCTGAGTTTGATGAGAGACTGTGGGGGCCAATTTGATCACAAATCCTCACCTTCTCTAATGAAAAAGGCTTCAAGCCAATCACACGAGATGTGCTTGCTTGTCATGAACTTTACACTTGTCAGCTGTGGTGCATCTTTCACGGCCTGGATGGTTGGTGAGTTAGAATTCAGCTGAGACATGAAATGGATGACACCAACAGCGTGACACCAGCTCAGCACTTGTGAGCTGTGGGTTTCTATAAAATCATTTCATCTTTCCAGTTTAATTTAACATTTTTCAATAAGAGGATGGAATTAGCAAGTCAGAGCTGAGCATAATGTACCAACAGTTTTCCAGTGTTTTGAAGAAGGAAACTTTGGATTGAGTCAGGATCTTACTGTTGATAGAATGGTTGAAAAAAAACACTTTATTAGGTAAATACCTTATAAACAATTGTTTGTAACAATTGTAGCATCATTTTAGCTACTGACAAGACTACATCTTCTCATATCCATGTATCTATTTTGATTCTGCAAAAGTTTTGATGAGATCTTTATCTTAGAGGAGGGAGCATGGACCTTCTTCACCTACTCGATTTAATAGGCAGTTTATGCCTCTCCTGGTCACTACTTTGGGATAGATTTAAAATACTATTTTCACATTATCATGCATTCATTCAAAGTTCAATGTTGACTTCACATACACCACTTTATGATGCACTGTCTCTGATTATTCTAGCTGAAAAAAAGAAAAATAGATCAACTGCTTTTATTGTTATTGGTTTTTATTGCACACTGAGCTTCAGACTTGCTCTAGAAAAGGTGGGTAGGAAACACCAGAATCAGAGGTCACTTGTATTATACTATCAATCAGAGAAAGTTAGCCCTGAAAGGACACATTTAAGTCACAAAGTTGAGACATTCCTTGTGCAGGTGACTGTGTCTTGTAATTCTTTTCAGATATGCAACTAATCTTTGTACAGTGTGCACAAGGTCCCATCTCCCCTCTGCAACAGGAAAGAGTTTAACACATTAAAGTTTCCATTTAATCATTGCCTAGACTAAGTAATTGCAAGTTAACACTTGAGCACAGAGTTCAAGGGACCTCAGTAGATCATCTCATTTTAATACAACTAGATCCATCCTTTTTGAACAACCTACTTCACTGCAGGGCAAGGGGAATTGAAGGGAAAAGGGGTCTTGAAAATTCCCTTATGTTTGCTTCATGCTGGTGGGAACAGTGCATCTCTACCAAGCAAATTACACTTGGTTTGGGGTTGGTTCAACTTATGTTTGGCTGTGGCTGTTCCAACAGCTGGCACAAAAACATTATGCATGCAAACTTGTGATAGAGACTGGAGAGATTAGCCAGAGCTGTAGAGTTAACTCCATCACCCATGGCTTCCTCTAGAAGGGATGACATTTTCCAAAGCTTGACAGATTTCTTTATGTTGCCAGACTGTAACAGTCTCAACTCAATTGTCCAACACCAAGTAAACAGGTAATATACTTCTGCTTTCTGAAAAGCCTCATGTAAGATTTGCTTCTGACAGAGAAATCTGGCAAGGCTCAGTCATGTGTTGTAATTGCTCAAGAATGCCAGTTGCTTTTTTTCCTTTTTTGTCTTTTCTTGTTAGTTTTTCTGCTACTTCTGGATTTGCTACTGATTCCACGTCTCCTGTTGGCATGTACACATAATCTGGGGTGAAACAGGGGACAACCACCTATCTGTTTGCAGTCAAAATGGAAAAAACTAATTTTCTGCCTCAGAAAACAGAACTGCTGGTGTAGAAAACCAGCAAGTAGTATAGCAGATTTAAAGGAAGTGATTGAATTTCCCATCATTCCAATATGTAAAAAACATACTTTAAAATTTCTTTATACCATCATATTATTTTCACATACGTGGCCAACTTCACCACCAACCCTACTCCTCTTCTGCTGTTCAGTTAATGCCAGTGAGACTTGGGACAACTAATCCACAAAGCACTGGAACAGACTGCCCAGGGAGGTTGTGGAGTCTCCCTCACTGGAGACATTCAAAACCCACCTGGATGAGTTCCTGTGTGATGTACTCTAGGTGACCCTGCTCTGGCAGGGGGGTTGGACTAGATGATCTCTCAAGGTCCCTTCCAGCCCCTATGATTCTATGATAGCAATATGCTTGCCTAGACATCTCATTACTAGCACTCTGTGTTGTGTCTCCCCACATTTGCATTCCCTGAATACATCAAGACTCCTTGTTCACACTAAAGCTTCAAAAGCTTTTAGAATTACAGAGGTGGAATATATTTTCCATGTCTGCCACTGGCAGGTGTGGATTGTGCTGCCTCAGAACCAACCAGCACAACAAGACTTACTCCAGGATCTGACCATGCTCACAGGATGTGGTCAGTGAGCACAAAGCAGGAGCACTGACCTTATTCCCACAACTGCACTGAAAACTCAGCATCAGCAAAACAATCTCTTGGAGAAACTGTGACAATTTTAGAGAAGGTAAGGACTATTAGTGCTAATCTCCATCTCTGCTTGCCAAGCTACCCTTGCTTCCAGATTGACTACATCTGTTTTAAAGGACAGTCATGTTGGAGATCCAGAGAAGACCTAGAATATTTCTGCTAGGAAGGCTGCTGAAGCAAAAGTGGTGCAAGTAGAGAGGAGAGTCAATGCTTGCTTCTAAAGGAGTTATCTCAATCAGACCAACAAATTTAATTAACACAGTAATATTCAGCTATTCAAACCCCTCCCAACAAGACATCAAAGCACTACAATATTTGGGATTAACTGTTGACTTAATATTACTTTGAAGGTTGAAACATTTTACACAATATATATTAAAAACTGTTTCATCACTTCCACATGTTACCTAACAATGTCTAAATCAACTTTTCCTAAAGTATTGAATTTTTTTTTTCAAATCTCACCGGTGCTGAATTGTTCTTGGCTAAATTGCAGTAGAAAGCAGCTACTGGCAGTTGATTGAGAAACCTTTGCAAGGTGGGATTACAGTGGTAATTCTGACAGATGCTGTTCTCTAGCAGGCAAGACAGACTTTTCCACCATGAAACCTGCAGTTGCTTTTAGGAAGCAATTAAGGTGTGTGTGAGAGTGAGCCTGGGAGTTAATTAAAAGCCAAAACAAAAAGAAATTTTAAAACTTTGTAGACCTTGCCTAAAAGTAGAGCCCAGCATGGAGACAATGGGCACCATTCTGAGAAAAGCAGACTATGGTCCTATTGTTTTTTATTCTGACTGACTGAATAATATTTTTGAGGGTAAATTTCTTTAAGAAGCCAGTTTATCTCCTTAAAACAGAAAAGCTCATCATGCATTCTGACTAATTAAAGATACTCTATGCTATCAGTGCCTCCAGCTGCAATCAATATAATCAACATGCAATAAACTCTGTAGAGCTTTCCTAGTAACAATGTGGAATGTAAAGCATTGTCTTTTGACATTGTGAGTTGCATTGAAGGCTCAGAAGAGCTTCCACACACATTTCAAAGCATCGTGCACCTGAAATACTTACCCTGAAATTCTTCATTATTGTGAAAGTTATTCTTCATACCAAAATATAATTTAAAATGTTGTATAATCTTGTTATATTGTGGTCTTTCCTTTGAAAATGCTTTCAAAAAAGAAGAGTCATATCTTGAAATATTACATGATAGCTCAACTGTGATGGAAAGCAAAATAATCTTTTGGACCCAGGAACATTGTTTTCAGTTTTATGACAGTATATTAAATTTTGTAGCATCCATCAGTAGTATTTGTGGAGAAAATTACTGATGCTCTTTATTAAGCAGCACTATTAATTACAGTGTATCAAAATCATTACCATAAACAGAAATCCAAAGAATCAGTGTGGTTTGATTGAAAACTTAATGGACAACTTTGATACTTCAATTTTTTTTTACAGATTTGTTTGCATTTTAGTCTATACTACTGGCTGGATGGAGAAGATTGCAAATCACTTTGATATAAAGATTCTTAACTCTTCCGTGAATTGAGATAACTCACTTCAATACATTTCTTTTGGATCAGATTTCATTTGTATGATGAAAATCTGTAGGATAATTTAATCCACGTTACTAAAAAAAAATGAAAATGATTCTAAGTCTTCGTATGTTATTGTCCAATAATCTATACAGGAATTAAAAGGAATATTCAAATTATGTGCTCAGCCTGGCAATAGAGTTAAAAAATGCTAGGCAAGGGTTGGCTACATTATATCAAATCAGGAATTGAAAAACATCAGTTTTGTATCATTAAGAACACATCAAATCGACAGGCTGTTCAGCATCTTATGAGTACAATCAATTAAGAACTCAAAATATGATATTTAGCTGTATAAACTACTTAGTAAACCTTTATGAATACCCAAGGGGAACTGGCAGGTGCCTGAGTGATAATAAAAGAAGCACATTTGCTAAATTTTTACAGTGGCTACTTTGACTTTGTGGAGGGTCAGAGAA